TCTAGCTTTCCATGTGATGTGTTCTGCATACAGATTGAACAGATAAGGGAATAAAATGAACCTTTATTTGACACCTTTGCCTATAGCCAACCATTCTGTCTCTCCATTTTCAGTCCTAATGGTAGCTTCTTGTCCACAATACATCAAGACATTCAAGTGCTGAGACATGCCCATGTCTTTCAGAACAACCCATAGTTTTTCATGAGCCAGACAGTCAAAGGCTTTGCTGTAGTTTACAACATACAGACTGATCTTCTTCTAAAATTCTTTGGTGTGATCTGGTCACCAGCAGATATTTGCAGTATGATCTCAATTGCTTCTTGCTTTTCATAGTCCAGTTTGAGCCTCTGGCATTTCTTATTCCATATAAGATAAATGCCTTTGTTGCAACACTTTGAGCATCACTTTGTTTGAATGGGAAATTAAAGCAATAGTCCTATAGTTACTGCACTATGGTCCTATAGTTCCTTTAGCATCCTCTTCCTTAGGGACTGGAAAGTGTATTGAGTGTTTCTGGTCTGCAGGCCATTGTTTTGTTTTCCATATTTATTGCCATATTCTTGTTAGGAAATTGACAGATATATTCTCTCTTCATATTGCTTTCAGAGCAGCTTTCAGTTCATTTTCTATAATTGCAGGTTCTTCATCATAGGATTCCTCTTCAAAGAAGTCTGTCATCCTTTAACCTCTTCATAGGTCTTCAGTGTACAGTTTCCACCTTCTCTTTATTTTTTCCAGGTCAAATAGTGTGCTTCCTTGTTAGTCTTTCAGAATTCTTAATCTAGGCTTAAATTTCCCTTTGATTTCTGGGATGTTCTGGAAGAAATCTCATTTTCCCCATTTATTGTTCTCCTCTATGTCTTTGCACTGGTTATAGTAACAGTTCTTGTCTTTTGTACTTGACAGTCCCTGAAGACTGCATTCTGGTTTCTAACTCTATTTCTGTTACCTTATACTCTTGTTTCTTCCCTGTACTTCACAAGTTTAAGTGTTTCTTCCATCATCCATCTACGTTTTTATTTTATTTTTACTACTGGAATTGTCTTTTTGTATTCTTCCCCAATAATATCTCTGGTTTCAAACCACAGTTCTTCTGGTTCACAGTCAATTGAGTATAGTAATGCAAATCTGTTCCTTATATGGAGTTTAAATTTATCAGGAATGTTTTTGAAATTATACTTTGGCACTATGATTCTTTTACTGTTCTTTTTCAGCTTTATTCTGATGCTGGGAATTAATAATTCACTACCAGTACCACACTCCTTTCTTAGTCTTGTTTTGGAAGAAAGAATACAGCTTCTCCATTTCCTGCTTCAGCTACATAGTCTAGTTCACTGGTTCTTAACCTTGGGTTACTCAGGAGTTTTGGACTGCAACTCCCAGAAGCCTTCACCACCAGCTGTCCTGACTGGGGTTTCTGGGAGTTGCAGTTCAAAAGCATCCGAGTAACAAAGGTTAAGAACCACTGGTCTAGTTGCCATCTATATTGACATCCTTTCAGCTTTCATGTAGTTGTGTTATTAGCAACAGAGCTATTCGTACTTCTCCTTTGCTCTTTCCCAGTAGCTGATTAATTGATATCTGACCTGGGAGTCTCATCTTCTAACACTTTCTCTTATTTAATTGTTGACAGTCAAATCATAGATTTTTCTAGGTAAGAAATTTTTAGCAATGGGTTACCATTGCCTTTTTCTGCATATTGCAAGAGTTAGCTTAAGTGTCGCCGCCATTGGCTGTGAAAGATCCTCCGCCACTGCCGCGTAATAGCTGCCTTCATTAGGGCAGATGCATCCTAGTCTAGTGTCTCAAGTGTGATCACTCTGCCTTGGGCGACCCTGTTAGGAGGCCAAGCTTGTAATGGAGCCTGGCCTCCTGAGGGCACTAGTCTCAGCCTCCCTGTGATACTCAAACCCCTTCATAAGGTGTGCAAGCAGAAAGCCCAGGAGGGGAGGCTTCAGGATATATGCCATTAAAGAAAGAGAAAAGCAAGACAGCAATGCTTCTTGTCTGAAAAGTCTCACTTCATAATAAAATAGAATCCAGCTGTGTGATATAGTGAGTAAAACATGCATACACCATGACAGAGGAAAAAGAGAGAGAAGCAAGATAGGAAACTCTGCACCCCTTAAGTGAATAAGCTCAGACGACCATTTTTCCACTCAGCTGTAGTAGAAAAGCTTCTTCCTCTAAAAACACTTTACACAGAAGCAAAGTCGGGCGCCATGGACATGGCATGCTTTTTCATGGCTTTTAAAGATGCAGGGAAACTTGTCTCTGTTTGCATCCAGCCACTCTATTCTTACCATTTTTAAGCCACTCTGGAAGTGTAGCAGCAGCCACCTGAAATGACAGCTACATTCAGTGACCTGTCCCATGTGATGGGATAGAAAGCCTGAATACAGCAAAGTCCTGGCAAAGAACAGGTCCTATAAACACATATTACGAAGCTCCCCCTCTTTCCTTAAATAAGAACACAGATACATCCAAGGGGGTGACCGTCTACAAGCAGAGCCTGCTCTCTGCCAGTATAAAACCATCCCAACAGCTCTAGTTAAAAATGAAGGCACCTCTAGTGACAGAAAGATGCTCCACACACCCACACCCACACACCCCTTCAGCCACCTCCACTGCAGCCCCAGACATCTAAAGGGCACCAGGTTGTAAAAGCCTGGCCAGGTGCAAAGGGGGGGGGGGAGAAGCTCCTGCACATTTTAAGAATTGACCAGAAAGCATTTCAGAAGGTACAGCTGGTCATGCAAGTCACAGCGGATGTTGTTGTGATGTTTAATGGCAAAGCCGCTAGCCACAGTTACAAACATCTCATTCTTCTATACAACTGTTGACGGGTGAAGGAGCCTCATCCATTTTTCATCCAGCCACCCTAGAGTGAACTTCCTGTGTTTTACCGGTCAAAATCAGATGCTGTATCTGACTGCAGTGCAACCCTAACCATATTTACCACACAAGGGCCTTTCTTCCTCCTAAATGTGTTGCAGCTGAATTCCGAGAGATAAATTCAGCTTGCACCAATGTTAAAAGATGTGCGACAGAATTTTCCAAGACAGAGAATTTAATTTTAGCTGGATTCAGCCCAGCTAAAACTCTCTGTTTCTCCAAAATAGGATCTTGCTACTTGGGCTATTGTTCCTTCTAAATTTCTAGAGGAACCAGGACTACGGTAGTCAAAGGGAAGGGCTCTCCCACTACCCAAGGCCCTCACGCCCAGCCTATCCCAAGAGGGTTTTCACAAGACAAGGAACCACGACGCATGCGCAAACACACCGAGACCCACCCGAGCCCAGGTGGACCTTGGCTTGCAAGATCTCGTTCCGCTCGCAGTTACTTCCTTTCACATCTGGTGTTTGCTGCCCCCTGCTGGACAATCCAGGTCTACCAGCACAGGCGAGCTCCGTTCTTTCTTGTGTGCTACTGTATATGAACACCACCACGCCCTGGTAATACAGTACAAACAAAATTAGCAAGGGGCAGGGGGTTGGATCCATCCAGTAGTGCCTATGGTAAGTAGGGCGCACTGCGGCATAAACTCGAAGAGGGATGGGGGGGGGGAGACTCACTTCATATCTGGAGGGCAAAAATTCAGATTATCCTAATGTTTCACTCTTCGCCCTCTCTTCTCACAGGAGCGATCGGGGATTTCTTAGGCAAAACTGGCGACTGCGAGCTTAAATCAGCGCTAGGGAAACTCCAGCAACCAGCTAAGTACAGAGAGACGGATCTCGCTCGCTCTTTCTCTCCCGTCCAGCTTCACTCCCGTCCCGACCCATAAACGGGCGTTTAGTGTCTTTCCATTATGGTTTATGGGACTGTAAAATTTAAGCAGCTCCCATTAGAGGCACTTTTGGCCCTACATCAAGGGGGCGGGTGGGGAACAGAGCAGCAGCAGCAGCAACAGCAGCAGATCTTTTAGCAGTCTCAAGACCAAATGTACTTTGGACGATTAAATAAATATTGGTGGTAGGGAGCCCTATAAAGCTTATCACGAATAAGGGGAGAAAGATTTATTTTTAAAAATTGTGCTTTTCTTGGCAATCTGAAGGAAGGAGAGTAGGAGGTTTCGCAGCCCAACAGCAACAGTAAAAGGATACCAACTTTACCGTTATTTCCTAGAGCACCTGTAAAAGAGATTCAAGATGGTTTCACCCTCTTCTTGCCGGCTTTTTGGTTTATTGATGCTTAATATTACTAGCAGTAGTTTCTTTTATTATATGTAGGCATGCATCTTTTCAGCCTGTCTGTAATCCAGCTTCCGGATAGACTGTGGAATTGTAGGCATTTTTTTTTAGAATTTAGAATCATAAATCTAGAATAAACCTTGAGTGATGGAATAGGATGCAAGAGATCTGGGTTCATATCCCCACTCAGCCATAGCAACTTTCTTGAGACGAGCCCCAGAATCCTTTGCAACACAGATAATTTTTAATGTTTTGCCTGTCTTAATTATTCAATATACTGTATTTTAATAAGTTTCATGGTTTAATTGTTTTTAATGTCTATCTTACTGTGTTTTAAATTCTGTTCTTTTTTAATACTGTGAGCCGGCCGTCAGCCCCCGTATCAGGAGAAAGGCAGCACTTTCTTGAGACGAGCCCCAGAATCCTTTGCAACACAGATAATTTTTAATGTTTTGCCTGTCTTAATTATTCAATATACTGTATTTTAATAAGTTTCATGGTTTAATTGTTTTTAATGTCTATCTTACTGTGTTTTAAATTCTGTTCTTTTTTAATACTGTGAGCCGGCCGTCAGCCCCCGTATCAGGAGAAAGGCAGCCTATAAATATTACTGTGTTTTTAATTCTGTTCTTTTTTAATACTGAGCCGGCCTTCAGCCCCCGTATCAGGAGAAAGGCAGCCTATAAATAAACAAACAAACACAGAAGAACCCTGTTCGACACAAACGGGGTGGTGGTGGAAACAAACAAACAAACAAACAAACACAGAGGAACCCTGTTCGACACAAACGGGGAGGGGGGATGCTTCAGGAGAAAAGTCAAAGCCCCTGGACAGCGTGGGAAGCTGAAGTCTGAAAGTGTCTACATGCCACTGTTGCTTGGAGCTGTATTTGCTGGTGCTGATAAGTTGAGTTCAGCTCCTTGGGTAAGTTGTCCATTTCTAGACAAAACAATCACCTTCAACATCCCGGAGAGGTCATGGCTCTGCAGTGGTGCTGAGCCCTTGCATGCAGAAGGTTCTTGTCCAGTCCCCAGCATTCTTCACTTTAAGTCTGGGAACCTTGTCTGGAAACTGGGTGGGTTGATGCCGGTCGATCCCAACAGTATTAAGCTAGATTAATATAATATTCTCGCCTCATTTAAAGCAGCTTCCATCAAATCAATCTATAATATCCAACGAGTATGGACCTGAAAAATCTGTCAAACTTGGTTCTCCATCAGTGTGTCTTTGTGGGACCAGTAAAGACAGCACCTCTCACTCCATCCAATCCATATAATATTAAAAAGCTGCAGTCCAGCACTAAGGTCATGGCTCAATCTATATTGATTTAGAACTACCCTACACTTCTAGACTGACTTCAGGGCTACAGGCACGCCTCCCAAGGTACCTGCCATATAGATCTCAACCACAATATTTAAAAGCCTTGTAAAAGCACAGTTCCCTTGATGCTTATTGTTTAATCAAGGTTTCCTAAACGAGGGCTTATGGCAACTAAGCACAGGGCAAGCTTTGTAAAGTCAACGCAGAAGAGAACAAGAATTAAAGCAACCTCGGTAAGACAGAAAAAGAATACTTGGATGGCAGCTTAATATTTGCTCCAGCATGATAGGAAGACAAGACCTACAGCAAGTCAGCTGCAAGCTAAGATTAAAATCTGCAAACAAAGCAAAGTAGCCAAGATGTGAATTGGCTGTGTATGACACAGCACCAATTAAAGGGGCAAGATATTGCATTGCTTTAAGTGTAAATTCAGGAAAGGCAATATGTTCAAATATATAATTTTGTTTTCATTTACCTGATTTCCAGGGTGGCTCAAGGGATCAGTCAAGGAGAAAGATCACAGAAGTGCAATTCTATAAACATATATCAAAACTGAGTTAAAGTAAATAGTCTTATTGCCAACTGACTATAAAGGGTTGCAGGCGAAGGTGAAGAGAAAATCCAGGTTTCTATCCTTAGGACTCTCAAACAGGAGATATAACTTTTAAAAATGAATATATTAAATCTATTGAGTCCCATTTAAAGTCAGCCATGTCTGTGTTCTGTGGAGGACCAGGATATTGTTGCTCCTCCGTTCTCATTGCAGAAAGAGGGCTGTGGGATCTATGCATCCCTGTCCTTGCCATCACAGCTGGGTTTAACAAATTGCCGCATCTCTTCTTCAGAATACAGAGGCAAAGCTACCAGATCTAAATGTTCCAGATATGAGCATCGTTCTGTTATCCAGATGTATGACATGTGCGTTTGTGTGTACCCAAAGAGCATCCAGATGTTTCTGGCACAGAATGTCCAGATGGGTGAGGAATCTGACTCTGAACCCCAAGGCTGGGAATCCCCATAGGAAGAAACATTATTTTCACCAGGTTTTTCTAACTCTGTCTCCACAGTGATGTCTATCCCATGAGCCCATGATCTGGGATATGAAATGCCCTCTACGTCGTTACAACAAACATTTGTTTGTGAAACAAACAAATCCATGATTGTTGATATTGTCTTGGTTTGTCTATATTTCCATCCAGGGTAAAAGAAGTATCGGGAGGAAAATACATAAGTGATACATAAACAATTGAAGAAATTGAAGAAACAATTGAAGAGATTGAAGGAATGACAGGAATTCTATCCCATTTCTGTCCTTCCTGCTGCTCCACTGGGCTACCGATGCCATTCAGAATCCCTGCAAATTTGAGATGCTGCCAAAGCATTCATATACACACACATCTTTTGGAGGTTACAATGTGGAGCACAGAGTCCTTTCAATTGGCTAGACTAAAGGCAACCGAGGGACCAGTGTGCACCGCCAGCCCACTTTGCCTGACAGATATACGGCCTGCAGGGAGCCGACATCAATTTTTTTATTGGCTTGACAAAAAGACAGGAAGTGTATGACATAATCCTGACCTCCCCTCACCGGCCACTTCAGCGTCCAGGGCCTCCAAGGTATAGAAGTCTCACCTTTTCAACAAGGCACCACCTCTCTTGAAAAGCTTCCATGGCAAGCTGGCTTCTCCTTGATCCAAGAAAGGGGCCCCTACCCACGTTAAGGACTGAACTGCAGTCACCTTAGATAATTTAATCCTTCTATAGTGATAATTTGGGAGCATACTACAATGCAGATGCTTCAATAACGGGTGGAGTAGAAATATTTTAAATAAATAAATTCAACGCACACACATATATCTGAGTAATCTTTCTCAGAAATAGGAAATGACCTTAAAAAAAAACCAGCTGCAAATTCCAAAATCTCTGGTTATGGCATTCTTGGATTAGTACCTGCATATTTGGGGGCTTAAAAAAAATCCATCTTTGATGTTCCCTGATGCAAAGAGGAGCAGACATGTCAGTGTTCTTTGCATGGCAAAATGCACCAAGTCCACTGTGTAAATGAATGTATGAAACCATCATACAGTATACTGCATCCAGAGTAGGAGTAGGTGATAGGAAGCATGGCTGGACAGGTCAATGCTTCCTCATTGCTGGGGATGCTGGCTGGTGTTGATGAAAGCAGCAATCTCAGCTACATCCCCATGTTACCAATCCCCAATAAACTATTGGTCTATCAAGCTCAGTGATATATTCTCTCTAGAGTAAACTTTGGGGAGGGGGGGTGGCATTTTCCTACCACCTGATTCCCAGCACCTTTTATTGGGAGTTGAACCTGAGACCTCCACTAACAAAGTATGCACAACTTCCCAATAAGCTGTGCCCCTTCTCAAGAATGAAAGGTACAAGACCTGTGACATCATCACCCACACATCTGATTGTCCTAGCCAGCTTTCCCCCCAAATGGCCCTGTTAGTTGGAGCTGATGTGAGCCTGTCATCCAAATATCTGAAGGACACTATGTTGGGGGTGCTGTTCTAGTTCAGATCGTGGCCCATATAGAACAAGGAGTAGGACCAGAGCAGCAAGAATTCTGCAGTCCTGCGTGGCTGATGTCCTACCTACAGTGACATTGGATACTCTCTCCAGAGGGATACATCTCTGCTTTCCTCTTTATCCTGTACTGTGCTATGACACCCAGTGAAGAGTAACTGCTGAAGTGTGGTGGTAGCCAACTTTGATGGACAGTTGATCATCATAACAATGTCCCACCAAGAGATGGAAAACAACAAAAACGGAGCAGGGAGTTGTATCGATCCATATCAACACTCCAGTCCCAGAGGAACATGTCTTTTGTAAAGGTTGTTGTTTGTTGTTTAGTTGTTAAGTTGTGTCCGACTCTTCATGACCGCATGGACCAGAGCACACCAGGCCCTCCTGTCTTTCACTGCCTCCAAGAATTTGGTCAAATTCATGTTGGTTGCTTCAACGACACTGTCCAGCCATCTCATCCTCTGTTGTCCCCTTCTCCTCCTGCCTTCACACTTTCCCAACATCAAAGTCTTTTCCAAGGAGTCTTCTCATGAGATGGCCAAAGTACTGGAGCCTCGCCTTCAGGATCTGTCCTTCCAGTGAGCACTCAGGGTTGATTTCCTTCAGAATGGACAGGTTTGATCTCCTTGCAGTCCAGGGAATTCTCAAGAGTCTCTTCCAGCACCACAATTCAAAAGCATCAATTTTTCGGCGGTCAGCCTTCTTTATGGTCCAGCTCTCACTTCCATACATCACGACAGGAAAAACCATAGCTTTGACTATGCAGACCTTTGTTGCCAAGGTGATGTCTCTGCTTTTTAACATATTGTCTAGGTTTGTTATCGCTTTCCTCCAAAGAAGCAGGTGTCTTTTAATTTCGTGGCTGTTGTCACCATCTGCAGTGATCATGGAGGCCAGGAAAGTAGAATCTGTCACTGCCTCCATATCTTCCCCTTCTGTTTGCCAAGAGGTGATGGGACCAGTAGCCATGATCTTGGTTTTTTTTAATGTTGAGCTTCAGACCATTTTTTGCACTCTCCTCTTTCACCCTCATTAAGAGGTTTTTAATTCCTCCTCATTTTCTGCCATCAGAGTGGTATCATCTGCATATCTGAGGTTGTTGATATTTCTTCCAGCAATCTTAATTCCATTTTGGGATTCATCCAGTCCTGCCTTTCGCATGATGTATTCTGTATATAAGTTAAATAAGCAGGAAGACAATATACAGCCTTGTCGTACTCCTTTCCCAATTTTGAACCAATCAGTTGTTCCATATCCAATTCTAACTGTTGCTTCCTGTCCAACGTATAGATTTCTCAGGAGACGGATAAGGCGGTCAGGCACTCCCATTTCTTTAAGAACTTGCCATAGTTTGCTGTGGTCCACACAGACAAAGGTTTTTGCGCAGTCAATTAAGCAGAAATGTTAATTGATTGTAATGTAAATGTAAATGTTTTTCTGGAACTCTCTGGCTTTCTCCATAATCCAGCGCATGTTAGCAATTTGGTCTTTAGTTCCTCTGCCCCTTCGAAATCCAGCTCGTACTTCTGGGAGTTCTCGGTCCATATATTGCTGAATCCTTCCTTGGAGGATTTTGAGCATAACCTTGCTAGCGTGTGAAATGAGTGCAATTGTACGGTAGTTGGAGCATTCTTTAGCACTGCCCCTCTTGGGGATTGGGATGTAGACTGATCTTGTCCAATCCTCTGGCCACTGCTGAGTTTTCCAAACTTGCTGGTATATTGAATGTAGCACCTTAACAGTGTCATCATTTAAGATTTTAAACTGGAATGCCATCACCTCCACTGGCCTTGTTGTTAGCCAGGCTTTCTAAGGCCCACTTGATTTCCCTCTCCAGGTCAGCAACCACACTACCTGGGTTGTCCGGGACATCTAGATCTTTCTGGTATAATTCCTCTGTGTATTCTTGCCACCTCTTCTTGATTTCTGTTTCTGTGAGGTCCCTACCATTTTTGTCCTTTATCATGTCCATCTTTGCACAAAATGTTCCTTTAACATCTCCAATTTTCTTGAACAAATCTCTGGTTTTTCCCTTTCTATTTTTTTCCTCCATTTCTTTGCACTGTTCATTTAAGAAGGCCCTCTTGGCTCTCCTTGCTATTCTTTGGAAGTCTGAATTGCATTTTCTGTAACTTTTCTAAACTCTATTAGCCTATGCCCTGCTTCATTTTGAACTTCAAGGCACTCTGCACCACTTGAAGTTTCCGCATCAGCTTCAAAGGAGCGCATTACAGTAGTCTAATCTAGAAATTACGAGCGCAAGTACTAAGGTAGTGAGTGCCTCCGTGTCTAGATAAGGTTGCAGCCAGGCAATCTTCCAAAGGTGGAAAAAGGCGTTCCAGTCCCCTATGAGAAGAACATCTTTCTTTGGTGTCAGTTCTAGAAGGTGTTGTAAGTCTTCATAGAATCGCTCCATTTCAGCCTCTTCAGCATGGGTGGTTGGTGCATAAACTTGGATTACTGTGGTGTTGAAAGGTCTGCCTTGGATTAGTATTGAAATCATTCTGTCATTTTTGAGATTGTATCCCAATACAGCTTTTCCCACTCTTTTGTTGACTATAAAGGCTACTCCATTTCTTCTACGGGATTCTTGCCCACAATAGTAGATATGATAATCATCTGAATTGAATTCACCCATTCCTGTCCATTTTAGTTCACTGACGCCCAGGATGTCAATGTTTATTCTTGCCATCTCTTGTTTGACTACATCCAGCTAACCAAGTTTCATAAATCTTACATTCCAGGTTCCTATGCGGTACTATTCATTGCAGCATCGGACTTTCCTTTCACTTCCAGGCACATCCACAGCTGAGCGTCCTTTCGGCTTTGGCCCAACCCCTTCATTAGCTCT